AGTGAACAAATACATTTCAATGACTTAACATTAAATATTCATAAAAAATGAAACTGGATTCGGGTACTTTATTAAACACGTTTTTTCCTTTCTCCTATCTATTTATATACGTTCCGCTCCATGTGTGCCTAGTAATTTGATATCGTTACGTATATCTGCATTCATATTACATATATTTACCTCATGTATTACTTTAACAATTATTATTATAAAAAAATAACATTGCAACAGTTTGTCCAACACACATAGTTGGTTACAGTGTGCCAGCCCAGTGACTCAATAAGACATTTGGTCTCTAACCTGGATCCCTGTATTGATCGAGAAAGTTCATCGAGATTTTCTCGAGTTGGAATCCTTTGTCAGTGGTATACGGCAGAGGACCTGGTATGAAACGACGTATAGCCGTTTGGATGACAGTTGGAATTCGAATAGGCTGTTTGAGGAAGGATATTGAAGCAGTGTAGTGTTCACTGCGAAGGGAAATGTCTCGTTTTTTATTTGGATTTGATCACACAGCCTGAACAATTTATTGTGGAACCATTCTTTAGGTAATCTATCATATTTACGACCTCGGATTCCCAGACAACAGGGGCCTTGACCTAGCTACTAGAATACGTTCTTTTAAACTTGTCGTCACATGCTTCCTTCGCATACTTGGACTTTTTATTTCAAGAAAAAAGTGATGAACATCCCGAGTAACAATTTGACCCACGAAGAAGCGTGTGGAGCTTTCATATAGTCTTCGAGAAGCTGTTGACTAACAATGACTTTGTGAGCGACGTGAAGTAGCATGTGTTTCAAGGTCAACGAGCTGCTTTGTTGTTCGTTATTCACCAGATATAAAAATAGTAACGTGTGTGAGTTAGTTGTATTTTACGTCCGCTTCCACAGAGGTGATATCGCAGACAAAAATAGTAATATAATAAACCAATTAGAAACATGAAAAAGCACCCTCCAAGCTTATTCCGTATAAAAGTGCCTTTAAAATAGTAATATAATAAAGGCAATAAGCTGGTTTATAACAAATCAAAGTCTTGGGAAATAGATTCTAACAAACTGTCTTACTGCCTGAATAACGAGTTGTTTCATATTGGCGAATAACAAACAACGAGCTAGCTCGTTGTTCATTATTCACCAGCTATCGATTTAGTAATATAATAAAGGCACGTTTATAGGAAATACGCTGGCAGTGGGTTTGTATGGGCCTAATTGGTTTATAATATTTCAAAGTATTGGGAAATAAGTTCTAACAATCTGTCTGTCTACCCGAATAACGAACTATTTTATATTGCGAATAACGAACAACAACCATGATCCACAAGCTAACTTCATGTCGCTGACTTAGTGTCTTCTTCCTTCTATCGTCATTATTCTGGACAGTCAAAGCCAACGTTCAATTTGGTGTTTTGATCTGTTACTAACCTGTCCCTGCATTATTGTTTCGAGAACATAATTAATTTTATCTTGGATGATCACTTTACAAGTGCGACCAGACCGTGGTTCATCTTCAGTCCGGATTATGCCCCTTTGCCACTTTATGTGTCATGTCATTATGAACTTGCGTTGCCGTAAACCTTTTCAAATACAAATAGGTAATCACGGCTCTGCATTCGGTTTTGTAACATTTTGAGAGGTTCATAGCACAAGGAATTCGTGTTGTGCATGTCAAGCACATGCTGCGATACTTTTCTAGGCGGAAACTGTTGTGACACCTCTCGTGTATTAAATTAATTTCTGATATAGCATGTTACTTATTGGGACCTCGTCTATTTCACACAAGTATTAAACGGAGGTTGATAACTACGCAGAACTATTTTTATAACAAATTAAATATTTTATTTCTTATACAGGAACAGGAATTAGTAATGACGCGGCCGATGTTTTTAATAACGTACTATTAAATAATATAATATGATATTTTCACTATAATGTGGCGGCCCTACATTTTTGGAACAGATAGGACGATCCTTCACAACAAGAAACGAGATCTGGCTTAGCGCACTGTCATCTTCTTCAATCGGATTGTTCCAACACAAAATATTACAGATTTGTTAATGTTATACGTGGATAAAAATATCTTTTTAAGAAATTGCATGAAGACAGAATGGGTAATATGATATGACATGAAATATTGTTTAATAACACGTCTGCATCAACCGTTATATATTGCCCCCAGACAATGGTGAATATTTCGAGACAGACTAAATGGGATAATTAGATACATATGTATATTTCAAAATTTCAAAAACAAAATATCACAGATCGGTAAATATTTAAAATCATATTACAAATTGCTATACAAATATCACAATAAATTAAATATAAGTAAATTACAATAAAAATATGATTATTATGTTTACTTAAAATTAAAATTTCTGATAAAAGTCTTTCTTTTTTAAATTAAAAGAACTAGCAATTTGCCATGTTTAAGATACTTGCACTCGATCGTAAAGTGCTTGGCGTTCATGGGAATTTGCCAGTGCTCACAATTGGGGCTGGGGCTCTAGTTTTTAAAATTCTGACGTCATTAGCCCATTTTATACTTTGTAATAATTGAGCTGCCCAGCAACGCTCAACATATAACTGTAGCAATGGGGCTTTACATGTTATTATTATTACGATATCAGTAGACGCCCCCCCCCCAATCCCCATGCGCAACAATGGTATGTAATTTTGAATGGGTTTGGATGGATTTTCATTGTAAATAACTTCCCATAGATATGTTCTTGATAACCGACATTATAATTAACAGACAAATGCAAAACATCTCTGAAACCACAACGGTTCACCAAATATCACAATATGTTCACAGCATGATCCTGAATCTCTTACTCCTATATTGTCATGTGTATACTTTATTAACGATATTTGTAATAGCATTGAGTCAGTAGTAGGTAGAGCACTGACGGTGTATAATGGTATGTATTAAAGAGTTGTCTACCTCTAAATATAAAGCTAATTACATGTACTTCCATAAGACAGGTCTAATATAGTGGAGCATACACTGGATAATTTAAAGTACTTTGCTACAAAGTACTTTGTAGTATTCATAGTAAGCTAATCATTGCAGACCCCATGCTGCATTATATTCTAAAGTACCACCATTGAATGAATCATAGACATAAGAACTGCAACTGGTTAGTATTGTCTTCGTATCGGATCATCTTGTCGATCTATCCATTGAAATCACCAGAAATGGACAAAACTGGTTATAGGATGTCATCAAGAACCTGCAACCGAAAGGACTAACACCAACACAGAAACATGGTCTTCATCTTAGGGGATGGTGCTCCTTACTTTCCCACAATAAAGAAGTGGGCTGCGGAATTTAAGCGTGACAGAGAGAGCATTGACGACGACCCGCTTCCGGGAAAACCATCAACACCAATATCAAGAAAACATTACCTGGGTGCATGACATGCTAATGGTTGATCGACGATTGACCACTCGACATATTTCCATTGTTGTGTGCATCTCATGAAAGGGTTTATTACATTATCGTCAACGATTGAGGAATGACAAAAGTGTCTGCAAGATGGTTGCCAAAACTCTTAACTGCGGATCAGAAATATGAATGGGCCTTACGGGTTTAACGTCCTACTGAGCAGGGCTAATGAAGAGAGGCATACGCCATACACTGTGCCATGAGGGACATTTTTGCCCGGACAGCGGCGCTGTGGCCTACTGTTATATCGAATTACAACTGCCAAGGGATCTATTACTTGCACGCCTGATAATTGTCCTTTGCAAGCCCTCTGTCATACACTACTTACAAGTGGAAACCACGCCGGAACATCACGATGAAATTTCTCGGCCAACACCGGGAGCGAACCCGCGACATCCAGACTAGAGAGCCAGTACCTTACTTACTTAGCCACCGTGGCTCCTATACTTACTTAGCCACCGTGGCTCCTATACTTACTTAGCCACCGTGGCTCCTATGGATAAGACACGTGTTAGATTCCTGACGTCCCGTGTCAATCTTCGCCGTTTAAAAACAGAATCTGATAACATTTTAAGAAAATTTGTAACAATGGATTCATCACATTCAATCAGAACCCCAAATTCAGTCTTTTTCCTAGTAATGATGATGCCATTCCACTGTGAACGACTTTGCGTGTGGTGGCTGAAGAAATGTCTTTCTGGCGGCATCTAGGCCTTGCAACATCGTTGGCAAAAGTGTGTACACCTCGAAGGGGACTATGTAAAAAAAATAAATGGAAACCATCTTTCAACGATAGGCTTAGAACTTTTCAGCCAGCCCTGCACATCTGCTGTTTGTGTATGAGCTTGCCTTACTAACTAAAACGAAACGTCATAATATTATGACGACTCGAAAAAAATTCGGATTTTAAGATAGAATTAACATTGAGAGATTTATGGATTTGTGACCGATCTACCAAGACAAATGATAGCGACATTAACAAGTATTTTGTTTTGCCGGGGTGGGGGGTCTGAACACAGGAAACATTAATTAGTTTCTTTTATTGACTATTATTAATAATGTTATCTAAACATAATATAGCACAATGTCAACAAAGTATTCAACTACAGGTATACTTGCCCTGTAAAATTACAAAAACCTTTAAAAAGTTTTATGGCCGTCATATTGACTTGATTTGTTAATATAACATGTCTCTTTCGGCTATTATTCTAGATATATTTAATTGACGCGTATACTATATCCCTGATTATATCTACTACATCGTTAACACTGTTCATCACGTGCATTTTGCATACCGATAGTCCATAGACCAATCACGATATTTTAACGAGATTTCGTCTTATGGTTTGGATGCAGCTATGGCAGGTGTGGCGCCAGGCACTTTTCCGGACACCTGTTTGTCGTGTATTTTGTACACGGTGAATAGTCCATTTGCTGATTACACCATTTTGCCTATACCGTTTTTTTAGGACTTCGAATTTTGTCTAATGGTTTGGATTGTTCGTACTTGGTTTTATTTTATTTATAAATATAAAATACTTTTTGAGACAGCGAATATATAAATATAAATTTATTGATTATTATTAATGCTGATATAATAAAACATAATGTTAAAATATTATTCATCTATAAATAGAAAATAATTGATTAAACATAATACAACATAATATTAACAAAGTATTCATATAATAATTATTCATCTATAGAAATACAAGTGGTTGCCATGCAAGATACGGCCATATGGACAACGGTCAGAGGCCATAATCCAGAAATTTGCAGTCCGATACGCGCAAGTATTGAAAGGACCCCAAATCGTTGGAAAATAAACATATTTTAAGTTTCATCAAAATCCGATAAAAATTGTGACCTCTAGAGGGACCACAATCTTGGTATTTACATACTTTAACACCGTTTACGTACTTGGAGCGGCCATTTCGTCGGGTAGTTTCATGAAATTCGAACTCAACTATCAGTACGGTGATATATTTAAAACGAATAAATATATCATTACAATCTGATGATGACTGAGTTTGAATTTCGCAAAATCGGATAAAAATTATGATCTCTAGAGTGACCGCAAGCTAAAAACGCGATTTTGTCGTATAATCAGGAGCTATAATCCATGAAGTTACAGTCCACTATGTCGACAGGAACCTAGATCCTTGGAATATTAACATATTCTAAGTTTCATCAAAATCTGTGTAAGGCAGTTCTGGTCTGATTTTCGAAAAATCCGAACACAGACATCATTAGGGAGTAACGGTGATACATTGGAACGGTTTTCAAAGTCGGATATTAATTGTGACCTCTAGCGGGACCGCAAGCTAAAAAAAGCGATTCTTCGTACATCAAACCAAGGGTCATAATTTAGGCAGTTACAGTCTAAAACGATAACAATCAAGGGATATAATTAATCTATGCCAATATCGAAAAGAACCAAAATCTTTTAGAGATAAACCTATATTTCAAGATTCGTCAAAATCGGATTAAAATTGTGACCTGTAGACCGTCCAATAATAAATTGTTGACAGACGGACAGTGCGACGACAATATACGTCCACATGAAATGTTAATGTTAAATATACAAATATTCATTTTTATTATAAATGGCATCAAATGGAATAATAATGCATGAAGTATTAATAAAAGAAGAAACTCGATATATCATATTTTATTGAAGTATTTCTTGAATTACGTAAAATTTATCTCAATTTATATCATGTTTAATTTACGAACCAAAATCTTTTAGAGATAAACCGATATTTCAAGATTCGTCAAAATCGGATTAAAATTGTGACCTGTATAGACTGTCCAATAATAAATTGTTGACAGACGGACAGTGCGACGACAATATACGTCCACATGAAATGTTAATGTTAAAGACATATTCATCTATAAATATACAAATATTCATTTTTTTTATAAATGACATCAAATGGAATAATAATGCATGAAGTATTAATAAAAAAAGAAACTCGATATATCATATTTTATTGAAGTATTTCTTGAATTACGTAAAATTTATCTCAATTTATATCATGTTTAATTTACGTATCTCTAGTATGTTAGATTCTGTAGATGTATATTATATATCATGTTTTATTTAGGTATCTCTAACATGTTAGATTCTATAGATGTATAATATGTATTGTATGATACATTACACATGATATAGATACTTTAATATAGAGATACTTTAATACAAATGCTATATAGAGATAAAACTATCATACAAATCTATAGCATTTTATCTATTTGATTTTGTTACAATCTAAAATTGTGTATGTATGCTGTGTGCTATCTGGTGTGTGATCTAAAGTGTCATACAAAGTTCTCGTATTGTCTTCTGTATTAAACGACTGGTTTTCATATTCTACATTACGTGTATTAGTTGGAATATTCTGATATCCAGTGGTTAATGTATCATCTGTTGTAGAACTAGTCAGGTTTAAATCTGTATTACTGTAAACATAATCAGGAACAGTGTCGTCCTTTGGGTTATTCGATTGACGCCTGAAATATATTCCAGCGAAACAATCTTTTTATAATACAACTGACATCTAACAACAAACCATAGGCATCAAGGAAATAATTGTAGTCTAAGAGGTTTGCACAACAAAGGAGCATCAATCTGTAGAAAGCCTTCACATCAATTAGTTTTAAATTGAAAATATAGGTCATTGTCTAGATGACTAGGCTGTAGCATAATGTAATGTAAGAGAAATTAGGAAATATATTCGCTGTATGTATTTTAAAAAAAAAAACTTGCAATTAATAAAATGTTACCTTTTCTTGTAGAAATGATATGACAGGAAGACTGCTACCGAGCCAAGTATACCACATAGCAAACCAATTACAACATATACCACGGGACTTAATGCTGAACATGTACAGCAAGACAAACGGTCTGTTAAATATAATAATGATATTGCAACAATGATATTGCGCGTAGGGTTCTTTAGCAGTGGGAGGAAACCGGGAGAACCCAGAAAAAACACATGACGATAGACAGGCGAACTTACTCCTAGTAACGTACAAGCGGGGAATCAAAACCACGCCACGTGACCAAATGACAGACCATGCGATTGCACGCCCACGCGTTAATCCACAAGACATCCCCCCAACACACACACACGAATTATGGAAATATATTATTTCTTTATCTTTAAATATACTTTTTTATCGGAAAAGAATATTTCGTTTTTAGACAGACATCTTAGTCGTACTCTTAGTATCCAATGAATGAAAGTAACGTTCCAGTCTACATGTATTCCAGCTTGCGTGTTGTAATTATATACCGAGATGTTCAATCGGTAGGTAAAAATGTACATACAAGTAGCTTACCCTGACAGGCTGAGCCTTGAAAGCCATCAGCACAACCAGCAATTCCACAACTACCAGTAATTACATCACATGTTGTTTCATCAGCACAGTTACCACATTTACTGGTACAGTTTTCACCATACCTGCCTGCTTCACAAGCTGTTAATACAAGACAAATATTCATAATATATATGTTATCATCAACCATTTGTGTTATTAATCACGCACTGAAGTCTACTTTTGATCATTCGATTTTCATGAAACTTGGGTTGCCAATGTGTATCCACGAAAATATGTCAAAACTTGCAACCAGGTGTCCACATTTTTCATTTTCGCTCTTTACACATATTCTTCCATTTTATATACAAAATAAATTCAGTACGCAGTTTTAGATGCTTCAGTTATCGCCCCTGACACGCTGATAATACTACGAAATGAAACCGAAAGTGTGATCGGAGTCGAGTCTTAATCATTTATTCGATTGAAATCAAGTTATTTACGTAATGTTTTTGTCATAAAATCTTAAAGAAGGGAAGGGGTGGTTGGGTGGGGTGGGGATTTGGTATATTTTGATTCAAATTCAGTTTGAATGAGTTTGAATTTTAACGAGAGTTGTTAATTATGTTATTATTGAATTATTTTGAACACATTTTTCTATTCACTCTCCATATATATTCAAATAGTTCGTTTCGCGGCGAATCATTATTCTTGCACGTTCTGGTGGATCTTTTGTCATTAAGTAGGGAGACGTGGCATCAGCAAATAATTTAATATTTGAATCAATATTGTCAATGATGTCAAAAATAGAAGCGGTCCGAGAACGGAGCAACGTGGAACGCCAGCATGGACGAATGATGACTCCGAGACGACATTGTCCAGAACAACACACTGTGATCGACCAGTTATATAACTCTTAAACAAACTGTACCATTCGCCTCGAACACTATGTTCGTATAATAACCATTTTCGATTGCATTACAATAAATATAATTTAAGTCTAGAAGTTTATAGTCAACTCTCCTTTCATAAAACCACTTTGAAATCGTGTTGTTGTCTAGAAGAAAGTTAAAACATGCTTATAATGACTGTATGAAATGTTGATTAATGGCATGTCAGCTCCAACCGGTCTATCTTGCGCCAACATATGGTGATTTTACTCGAAACAAACTAGAGACAAATAATCACAATATATATTTATATATTCATAAAAAAATCAAATATCACAGTAAATACCCCCCCCCCCCAAAAAAAAATAAATAAATAAATACCCCGAGCTTTATATATATATTTAAAATATGAAATAGAAAATCAGATATATACAAATTTGTCTCTTTAAAAAATCTAGCGCTTTACAATATAGACCAACGTGGGCAAACGACTGAAGCAGTGATTGGCAACGGTAATATACATGCTTATAAATACAACGTTCAAAACTTTTACTTATCATCGAGAATAATGATATAGGAAGATAGTTGGAACATAGATCCCTATTACCCTAAGATCAAAAATATTAATGGACCCGTGAATAAAAGAACAAGCAATGCTGAGAAAATCAATATTAAGGTGACCCAAGATTAAAAATTGTGAGATATCATCTGTGAGTGCCACGTTAAATGACTGAAAATAGGGTAGTTGATGTTTGACGTACTGTTCGCGGGTCTGTTAAATGTACTTAATAAGAAGTTATTAATGTAACTATTTCTAACCAGATGCCTTCTTTTCCGTCGACATCCGATCTCTCCTGACAGGTGCATGGTAAGATGAAATGGGGACTTTACTATCAGAAATACTACAATCTAAACACTATTCGGATATCGAGATATTGTCATAGCTATCCAATTAAGAAGCATGAAATGAAATGGGGTTTAACGTCCTACTGTTCTGCTCCTAAACTGGGCTAATGAAGACGGACATACGCCATACGTGCACGTCAATATGTACACGGGACCTCGGTTTGTCGTCCCATCCGAACGACTAGACAGATGTCCTTGTCGGGCCCTCCGTCCTGCATCACTGACAAGGTAAAACCACGCCGGAAAATCATGATGAACTTTCTCGGCCAATGCAGGGATCGAACACCCGACCTCCTGGCTAACGAGCCAGCGTCTTAACCACCTAGCCACCGTGGCTCCAAGTTTTATTAAACTAGGACGAACTTACTGTACCGTTTGGTATCGACGCACAATAAAGTCAATTTTATTACGGATACTTCTTGTGTTCAGATGAACTATAGTGAGGTTTTAGGACCGGTGTTTTGTTCAATGTCCCAAATAGTAAAAGAAGTAGAGGGATAACAAATGTAAACATAATATCAAATTCGTTGATTATATATTGGGAATAATGAAATAATAGTGATAAATATTGGGTGTTAATCCTGCTATATAGATCATAATAATAGTAAATGAAAGATAAGACAGAAAGTTAATAATCCATTATGTTAGGGTAAATGTGTGATAATCTATTGAAAAACAAATATATTTTTAAAGACCAGCATCATGAAACATAAATACAAGATACTTATAAGCAAGATACTTTACAAGCGCGGTCAAATGGTATGTCCGCTTATGGAAGCTGTGTACACGTGGCCTTGTACTGTTACTCACGAGGTTGGTGTAACTTGCACGTGCAACGGCTCGTGTGAGATCCGGGATAACTGGATTGAATATTGTAAATCAACTTATTACTGTAAACCATAAAATGAAGAAATCAAAGTTAAGTTACATTCCCTTTATGAGCATGAAGCGAAGGGTGCTATGATTAGAGCTAAAGTCTAATATCATTTCGAAGGCAAAAAACATTCTCAATTTTCCCTAAATGTGGAGAGACAAAAAACGAATTCGGCTACAGTTAATAGGTTACAATCACTCAGGGTTGGACGTATTATCACCGATCCTGGTATTATAATGACCGAAATTGAAGAATATTATAAGGACTTATATTCGAAAAAATCCAACAATTCGGCTATTACAACAAAATTTACGCACATAAAAAACCACGTACGATTACGAAGCTGATTGTCTTGAACACAAATTGGATGAGAGAGAATGTAAACAGGCAGTTGATTTGTTTAAAAAAGGCTCCTCGCCAGTTAATGGTGGGTTGACTGCAGAATTCTATTCCTGTTTCTGGCCCGAAATAAAATCATTTGTTCTAGATGCACTCAATGTAGGCTTTGAGCAGGAGTGTCTTTCCGTCAGTCAACGTCAATCAATTATAAAACTTATACCAAAAGCGAGCAAAAACAAGTTTAACTTTAATAATTGGAGACCAATATCCTTAATTAATGTTGACGTTAAGATTGTAAGTAAAGCTCTCTGTAACCGTTTGAAACCCTTCCTTGGCAAACGTATCCATCCCAATCAAACAGCATTTATCCTAGGAAGCCATATATTTGAAAATGTGAGGATTATTGATGACTGTTTTACTTTAGCCCACCAAAAACATACAACTGGATTCCTTTTAACACTAGATTTCACATAGGCGGAGGACTGGGAAGTTCTAACTAGCTTAGTTTTCAAAAGTCGTTGCAACTCACCGCTGTGGAAAGTTTTAATATTTATTTCTCGAGAAATAAGCCTTATGTGTTGTAAACAAAACTGCCACACTCCAATTTATGTGCCATAAACGTTTTAAACAAATAATCTAAACGATAGCATTTTTTGTCCTCGCAATAATAAAAGTAGTGAGACGGCGAGCTTTCAGCCAATGAAAATCTAGTAAATAGCGAAAAACAGTAAATACACGTGACCTTAAGGAGAATTTAATCGATCACCGTCGTTGTTTTGCTATAATATAATTAGGTCGATTTTTTTTAGCCAAACTCGTTGTAAATCATATTTCTAATGAAAAGAAAGTGCGCGCTATTTTAATAGCGCGCACTTTCTTTTCATTAGAAATATTAAAATACTGGTATTTACCGGTGTCGGCTAACATGTAATAAGTGCATAAATGTGAAAGATTTAGGTCAGCAATGACTCATTGGGTAGAGTGTCCAACTGACAGCTGCTTACCACTTGGCGATTATGTGCCGTGTTTTCGGACCCTTCACCCCATCAGACGGACAGTTTTCCCCGATGCCAGACAAGCTTTACCCCTCTTACCCCCGTGAAGCCGCTGTCGGTAATACCAGACGGGCTTTTCCTCTCTCAACAAATTCTTAGCTGTTTGTAGCCTGTGTAAATGTGATGAATCAATATATTATTCTTAAGAAAGTACACGACACTGTGGAATTAATTTTTGCATGCATCGTGTTTAACGTCTCAACACAGTTCCGAGTATTAAGATAATTTGAGAAGAGTTGGAAATGTTGTTTGATAGCAATGATATAGGCCTATATATAGCCGAATATAAATATAGATAATTGCCAAATATCAAAATCAATCAAGGTGTGTGAAGCTATATTTTATTAGAGGCTCTTTTCCTACTGTATTTGTCTTTGCGTGTGTAGACATACATACTTTGCATTGTCGAGTTCACCCTAATATTAACTGGTTAGAATAGATCCCCTAAGCCCACCCTTCCTCATCTCTAATAAAGTTGACACTGTAGCATCCATATAATATAACTATGCATAAATCAAATGTAAGGCCCAGCCCCCCCCCCCTCTCACACACTGCTTAATCCCCCACCCTCCATATAAGGTTGGAAATACCTTTTAATATCAATATACCCACAAAACGGAAATTCCTAAAGCCCGACCACATCCATACCAAAGGCACCCCTAATAAGGTTTGGCAATGTAATAACAATTAACTGATGTTTTGTGGACAGTTATTTGTGTTTGCTAAATTATGACTCTTTGAAATTAATGCATAGGTATAATACAGGTTGTGTTCTAATAACTGGCTAAAATGTCCCTTCCCCTATTTTAAAAAATATATATAGACTACATGGTCTTGCTCAAAGGAGGGGTCTATGGGAGTTTTAAAAATAAATTATTTTTTTTAACTTTATTTATTAAAGATAATTGGATTATAGAGCAGGCAACCCCACTCTCCAAAAAAAAAAATACAAAGAGATATAAATATTACAATCACAACATAATGAAATTACAATAATACATAAATATACACATATATATATATTACATACACTCACACACACATGTACACACTACACATACACTAATTCATTGATAATTAACATCAAACAACTGAGAA